CTACAAGGACAAATATTTTTCTTTAAAAGCCTGAGGGATGGTTTATTAAACTTAAAAATTGAGCGATTGTAATCAACGACTTCTCCTCACTCTCCCCTTGCCTGCTGCTGCCCCCAACGTCTGCCCACAGGCCCTCCCTGCCCTTGCAGGCCAAGTGAGAGTGGTCAGCGGAAGCTAGCTGGAGCTTCCGTGGGGGACGGGCTGCAAGAGTGGACTATTGCACAGCTTTGCTCCAGGGAAAATATCTTCATTACATACAGGAGATCGTAGAGTGTGGATCGATGAGTCTATTGTTTGGGAATAGCAGACCAAGTTTGATCATGTCATTTTTCCATTTTCCATATAAAATATTACAGCTTGGGGCGCCTGGGTGGCTCAGTGGTTAAGCCTCTGCCTTCGGCTCAGGTCATGATCCCAGGGTTTTGGAATTGAGCCCTGCATCGGGCTTTCTGCTCAGCGGGGAGTCTGCTTCCCCCTCTCCCTCTGCCTGTCTCTCTACTTATTTGTGATCTCTCTGTCAAATAAATAAAATCTTAAAAAAATATATTACAGCTTGAAGGGAGTTAAACTAGCAAGGACTTCTCTCATCTTTATCCCTTTGAACACAGAGCCGAGCAAATTGAAAGTTCGAGTGAGAAAATCAACTTTTTTTTTTTGGAATTGCCAAACTCAAGTTTCCTCTTTTCTTTCTTGATTTTTAGGCATTTAAGAAGATTATTTCATTCTAATTCAGATTAACCAAATTGTTGTAAACATTTCTGCTATAGTTTCAAAGTGCACACCAGGCTAAAACCTTTGAAATTTTGTCTTTCCTATTTAGGCAGTTTTATTTATTTTTAAATTTTTAATTGAGGTATAGTTGATATAAAGTACTGTATTCATTTCAGGTGGACAACGTGACGACCCGACGTTTGTATAAATTATGAGGTGCTCAGCACATTGAGTCTGGTCGCTGCCGGTCACCGTATACACCTCTTCCAGGGTTGTTGACGTGTTCCCTGTGCTGTGATTTCATCTCCATACCTTGGTTGTTTTATGACTGGAAGTCTGTGCCTCTTAATCTCCTTCCCCTATTTTCATCCATCGTCTCACCCCCCTTGTCTCTGGCAGCCACCACGTTCTTCTCTGTATTTAGGAGTTATGTTTCTGTTTGTTCATTTGTTTTGTAGATTCCACATACAAGTGAAACGATTTGGTATTTGTGTTTGTCTGGCTTATTTCGCTTAGCGTGAGACCTTCTGGATCCGCCCATACTGTCCAAAATTTCATTGTTTTTTAGGGCTGACTGATACTTTTCTCGTGTGTGTGTGTGTGTGTGTGTGTGTGTGTGTGTTGCACGCACCAGCTCTTTGTCTGTCCATCAGTCAGTGGACACTTGGGCTCTTACCGTATCTTGGCTGTTATAAATAATGCTGCAGCAAACAGGGGTTCATAGATCTTTTCAAATTTGTGTTTTCATTTTCTTCGGGTAAATGCCCAGAAATGAAATTACTGTATCACATGGTTGTTCTACTTGTAATTTTGTGAGGACCCTCCGTGCTGTTCTCCAGAGTGGCCACACCAGCTTGCATTCCCACCAACAGTGCACAAGGGCTCCCCTTTCTCCGAGTCCTCACAAACACCTGTTGTTTCCTGTGTTGTTAATTTTAGCCGTTCTGACAGTGGGAGGGGAGATCTCACTGTGGTTTTGATTTCATTTCTCTGATGATGAGTGGTGTTGAACATCTTTTCATGTGTCTATTGGCCAGCTGGATGTCTTCTCTGGAGAAATGTCTCTTCAGGTTCTCTGCCCATTTTTTAATCAGATTGTTTGGTTTTTTGATGTTGAGTTGTAGAAGTTCTTTATATACTTTGGATACTAATCCTTATTGGATATGTCATTTGCAAATTGTTTCCATTCACTTGGTTATAGTGATGATTTTCTTTGCTGGGCAGAAGCTTTTTATTTATTTATTTAAAGATTTATTCATTTATTTATTTGAGAGAGAGAGCAAGAGAGAGAGAGCACAAGCCGGCGGGGGGGGGGGGGGGGGGGGGGGGCAGAGGGAGAAGCAGTCTCCCCGTTGAGCAGGGAGCCCAATGCAGGGCTTGATCCTGGGACCCTGGGATCACGACCTGAGCTGAAGGCAGATGTTTTAATCAACTGAGCCACCCAGGTGCCCTAGGGCAGAAGCTTTTTAGTTTGTTGAAGTCCCAATAGTTTATTTTTGCTTTTTTGCCTTTGCTTTTGTTGCTTCAGGAGATGAATCCAAAAACAATATTGCTCAGACTAGTATCCAAGAGTTTATTGCCTCTTGTTTTCTTTGAGGAGTTTTATGGAAAAACCTTTGAAATTATGTGGTACCCCAGAGAATAGGCTAACCTCTAGGATTTTTCATCAATATCTGTTTATTTTAAGAGGATCTCGGGTAACACTTTGCTCCTGGCTCTGGGTTTTGAAGGACTGGGAAGTTTGTGTCTGTAGGAGGGATAATTTGGATTAAAAGTGAAAATGCTGCCGTCTGAATATTTAGGTTTGGAAAAGTCATCATATAAAGCTTATTCTTTGTTAATGCTGACACATTTTCTAGCCACTGTGCGCTGCCCTCTTACCTTCCTATGGGAGAGGAAGGAGGGGAGGGCACATTGAGGGAGCTCCTGTTGCCAGGCAGCTCACTAAGGGGAGGGCAGGGCACGGGAGAACCGAAGATGCTGCTTAATGACCTCTCACCGCTACCTGCCCTGCCTCTCCTGAGAAAACACTCGTCTGTATCGCTGTCATTTCCTGCTTCCTTGCCCATAGTTTCAGATAAAATTTCATTCAAGGAGTAACAGTTCCTATCAGCAGGTCTGTTGTACCTTTCATCCTCTGGCTGGTTGATTTCTAAATGTGGTAAGGGTTATGGGTTTTCCTGTTCACGCCTCTGTCTGTCTGTAGCTGTTGGGTACTGCCTTTTAAGCAGCCGGCGCACTCTTGGTCTGTGGCTGCATGGCGTGGTCACTGAGACTCATGGGAATTAAGTCATTCACCTGAAAAGCAAAAGCTTTTGTTCTTTTGTTAATTAGGAGAAACTGTAGTTAACATGGACTTAACCCTCACTGGTGTAAATTATGAAGAAAAGAACGAATCTGCTGTCTGTGGTGATGTAAATTTGGAGAAGTAGGACCGTGGTGTCCATCTGCCCTTCGGCCTGGTTTGTGCCTTGTGCAGATCTGGGGAGTATGGAGCCTGGTGAGCTGGTTTTCGAGAGCGGCTCTTTCTTCCTGGGTTGTAGCTGGGTAGCTGACTAGTGTGTGGCATTTCCCTGGGAACGTTTGTCCAAAACTGACGTCGCCAGGTAGATTCCCTAGTAAGCGTTGTCCGATAAATGATGGCCGTGCCTTCTTCCTGCGTTCTTCAATGTTAAAGCTCTGAGAGGACAACCCCAAGCCCCGGGGTTTGGAGGGTTAGAACGGTTTCAGTTGAAAGATGGTATAAAATGTGGTTTTGTAAATGTTTTGATATTTTCCAAAAAGACATCCAGCAGGCTGGTGGAGAGCTCTTGTCCGTGAGATATTGAGCCTAGTGAGGTCTGTCTCTGGGCGTGGGTGCGCTCCTTTCAGAAACAGCGACCTGAAACATCCACTCAGTTGACTGCTTTTTAGTGTAATGAATACCTAGGCCAAGAAGGTTACATAGAGAGTTGGGGGGGGGCTTGTTTTTAACAACTACAAGAACACTTCTCAGAGTTCTTTCTTTCTTTTTGTGTTTGTGAAATTTAAGTTGAATGTGTTCGTTAAACTTTGCGTTAACAGGCATCTGCCCTGGGCGTCATGCTGGGACTAAGGACTGTGACGAGGTCGCAAGAGCTCAGTTGGGTGGCAGTGAGGGGGGTACGGAGGTGTGTGCAGTGTTGGCCAAAGTGCTGTGGCAGACAAGACAGAAGTCTGGAGGAGAGAAGCGGGCCTGGAGTGGGGGGTGTGGTGGACATGGGCCGAGGAGGTGAGAAAAGGCACGGTGAGTTTGAGGGTGTGAGCCAGAGCCGGCTTCCCTGGGGACCCAGCCCGACAGCACACATCCCTGGGGGTGATGGGCCCGAGACTCGGAATCCTGCGGGTCACCCTGTGCAGGTACAGCTGGGGGTGCTGGGGCCGGCAGCATGCAGTGGGGTGGGAGCTGGAGGCTCGGCGTGCTCCCACGTCTGCACCCTTCTGGCACAGGGGCTGCTGTTGTGGGATCTTCAGTTAGGACCAGTGTCCTGGTCCGATTTTCATTGTAAAACAAAAATCAACAAGCTGGCATTTGCATGGAGAATGCCGTGGATGGGGTGAGTCTGAAGGTGGTCTGAGCAGGGCTGGGCCCGTGTGGGGCAAGAAGCCAGGTCCCAAAGGGCCAGGGGGTGGTCCTGAGCGCCTTGGGGGAGGGGAAGCATGGGGTTTGAGTGCCGGAAAGACAGCAGCCTGGTGACCCCAAGGTAGGTGAGCATGTCGAGTAGGAAAGCCACCTTCTGGCTTTGCTCACGGAGTAAGCTAGAACGGAAGACAGACTGAATTTTTCATAGCAGCTAACAATCCAACATACAGAAATGCCTTTGTTCTAGATTATTCCTACTAGCTTTTTAAATTGTCTAGTGTAATAATAGTCTTGATAGTTACACAAAACAGTGAATTAAAGACTGGAAAGAACTGTACTACTCCCAGTTTTCCCTAAGTGTTGTGTGGAGCAGTGTGAGGACCCAGGAGGCAGCACGCTGCGGGGACCATCTAGGTGTGGTGACCTCTGTCCCCATTATTGTTTACGGACCCAGGTGGTCCTGCCATCTCCCCACCCCAGAGCATAATGCTCTTGTTGAAGTGAGATCAGAGGGTAGGGGACCAACTGTTGGATGCCTGGGCTCTGTCTTAGTGACCTTGGATGTGAGAACTCATTGTATTCACCAACTTGAAATTGGTCCCCAGTGGAGCTGGGTCTGCTAGTGTGTTAGCCTGGTGACCAGTGTTGATACTCACGCACTTCTCCTGACCCTGCTGTCTTCACTCAGATGGCGCCAGCCCCTGCCCCACCGTCAAGGAGTGGTTCGTGTACTCTGGGAACCCGCTGAGGCACCCGGACCTCGTCAGGCCTCTGCAGATGAACATTCCAGGTACAGACGGTTTGGGTTAAGGAAATCACTCATTTGTTCACCAGATGATACAAGTCCAGTAATGGATCCACTGTAGAAACAGATTTTTCCGGAACTGCACATACACTGATTTTCATGTCAACCCTGGACCCGCAAGGAGTGTGTCTGTCTAATAACGTTCTAAAACAGAGGAGTGGACCTTCGTTCCACAGATGGACCCTGGGCTGGTCTGCTGTCTGCTCTGCCTCTGTCTGCCCTGACTCTTGTACAAGGTCGACATCAGCGGACAGCAAGACACACCAAGGGGAGTACGGCTGTGGGCCCAGGCCCGTTGCTGCCTGATCCCCAGCACGGTAGCTGGGCGTCGCTCAGTAAATATGTGCTGCATTAACAGGGATTCTAATGTCCTGCTTGAACCAGCTCTCCTTCCTCCCGCCGGAAGTTTGTTGGTGAACTGGAAAGGGAAGACAAAGGAAAGTCATTTTAGCTGGAAAAATAAGTTTTCTCTTCATGAGTGTTATCTTAAAACCTAAATGGGAGGGAATGAAAAGCAAAGTTCACCTAAAAATTAGCTGAAGTCCCTTCTTCCTGCAAGTTCTGAGTGCCTGAAAAGAGTCAGGAATTTGAGTGGGGGATAGAGTTGTACATGAAGGCAGGTTAAAGAAGAGGAGGGTGGTGAGGGGTTATTTTTAGTGTTCTTGCCATTGTTTCAGTGGACAAATACTTTTCTAAAACTTTGATATTCCATTTTTGTATGCGTTAAATTCTCTCATGCCACTGTTGTTCCCAGCACACAGGTCTGTAGTTTACCAAATAAGGGTGTGAGGACTGCAAAATAATTTTCTTAAAAATGGAATCGTGTTGGGAAGGAAGGTGAGGAAAGTTACTATAGGGAATATTTCCTTATTCTCTCAGCTGGTGATAGACTCAGACCAAAAAGGTATTTATCAAAAAAACAAATGAAGATGAATTAACATCTGCTTATACAGCAAGAGATATTTTTTAAGGCTAGCCAAAATAATTTTTCCATGTTTTATTATATAAGTGATTTCTATCTTATTGTATCTTTCCAAAAACACGTGGAGGGATTCTTACAGTTTTCGTCATGGTTTGAATTAAAGAGCGTATTTGGCTTCATTCTGTTACAAGTTAGTTTGAAAGGCCGCTCCCCAAAACGTTTTCATAAACTCTGGAAGCCATATCGTGGTCACAGAGACCACTTCTGGGGCTCAGGCAGGCGTCGCCCTTGGCCCTGCTGGAGCTGTGAAGGTTCTGTGTGGGGCCCCATGGGCCGCACCGCAGCGCTCAGCCGCGGAAGAGTTTGCGTGGCGGGCGGGGCCGCCTTCCGCTGCTGGGGACCTGGAGTGTGATCCCGAGCTCTCGGTGCAGATCGTTGACACGAAGGACTGTGCTCATGTTTGTAAGGGTACGAAAATGACAGGATTTTAATACTTAAATACTTTTCTGTATCCATGAGGAGAAAATGCCGAATGGTTTTTATTTTTAAAAGATTTTATTTATTTATTTATTGACAGAGATCACAAGTAGGCAGAGAGGCAGGCAGAGAGAGGGGGAAGCAGGCTCCCCGCTGAGCGGAAAGCCCGATGCGGGGCTCGACCCCAGGACCCTGAGATCGTGACCTGAGCGGAAGGCAGAGGCTCAACCCACTGAGCCACCCAGGCGTCCCGCCAAGTGGTTTTAAACTAAAATTAAGACAGGCCGTGCCCATCTGTGTCACGGGCGTCTCCCACCGCCGCGGCAGCACGGCAGCACGTGCTTGGAGACTGCGGCCCCTCTGACTGGCGCTGTCCCTGCACCTGTCTCGGGAGAGCTGACGTGGGCAGGGGCCTCTGCCCCGGGCGCGACAAGCCCTTGTTGTGCGACGGGAAGCGTCGTTCCCCAGTGAGGCCAGTGGGCCTGTCGGGGGAGGGGCGTCACCGCAGGACACAAGTCTGGTTTTTCTTGTTCGCCCAAGAGTGCGAAGCGGGTAGATCTCATCGACGCTGTATTACCGGCGAGCCTCCCGGCAGAGCGGCCAGTGTTCGTCCGGCGGCGCGTTCGGGTTAGCTGGCTTTCCTAAATGGTAGACGTGTAGACGCAGCGATCACGTTTCCGCGAAATGGACAGGAAAGACGGGGGAGCAGGGAAAGTGCAGAGAACAGCTGGAAATCAGGAGGAGGAAGAGGTGGAATCGAGCGGGCGCGGAGGAGAGGTCGGTCTCGTCGGTGGCGTATTTTGCTCCGGGAGCTCAGCGGCCGCTCCGTGCTCCCGGCCGCGCGCGTCTGCGGCTCGTCCGGGCGCGTCAGGCGCGTCCGCGCGCGAGCTGCAGGTTGTGGGCGTGGGTCTCACGTGTTCCGTGGTGGCACCGTGTCTCCTCCACTCGCCTCAGCGCAGCCCCTGAGACAAGGGCTTTCTGCCGGCGCAGAGCCTGCGCTTCCTTTCCGCGGACGCAGCCCTGGGAGGGCCCTCGAGGCGCGCACACGCGGCCGCGTCTTCCTCCTCCCTCGCTTCCCGGCGCGCCGCCTGTGGTGGCCCGAGCCTCGGACCAGACCCCAGGCAGGCGACTGGAAGAGCGTTTTTTCCCCAGAATCGGGCGGGGCTGCTCGTCTGCGCGGAGCGGAGGCGTCTTCTCCCTCCGCAGCCTCGGCTCGTCGCCCTCAGCAGCGCGGCCCCTGTCGGCCGCGCGCGGCGGCTGCGCCCTGTGTGTACCTGCATGTGTTTTCCCGGTGGGGTTCAGGAATCCGTGAGTGTCGTATGTCCTCGCTGCGCGCGGGTGTTTGCTCGGCTCACCAGAATCCCGCCGGTCGCCTCCGGAGACGGCCTCCGGCCTGAGGTGAGGTGGGCGACAGGTTTCCCGGAAAGGGCGCGCCGTGGCCGACTCCGGCCCGCTGACGGGGCGCGTCTGTCCCCCCGTTCTGCGTGGCGAGCGTCTGTGTGCGGCTCTGGAAGGTCTTGTCCTCGCGGTGTCTGTGGCGGGTCCACTGAGGTCCCCGGCGGCTGTCCAGCTGTGCGGACGCTCGCCCGGGAGCGAGATGGTGACGGGACCGCCTGCGTCCTGACCCGCCTGCCCGATATCGTGGGTCAGGAGAAACGGCGTCAGAACCTCAATGCCGGTTTTCCTTCCATTTGTAAAAATAATTTGGAGATTTTTTTTTTTTTTTAAAGATTTATGTTTTTGTCAGAGAGAGAGAGAGAGAGCGCACAAGCAGAGGGAGAAGCAGGGCCCCGCTGAGCAGCGAGCCGGGTGAGGGACCCGATCCCAGGATACTGGGACCATGACCTGAGCCGAAGGCAGACGCTTCACGGATGGAGCCACCCAGGCGCCCCTAAAGAGTTTTCAGTTAACTGTGTTACAAATACACATTTGAGTCACAAGCCAGCAGTTGAATTAGAGCCACATTCGCTGTATTTTGAATGCAGTAGGTGGGGTGGCATGACCGTGTCATTTTGCACGAAGTGAGACATTTCGTCCATGTATACTTAGAGCTTAGTATGTTGAGACGTTAATATACTAATGCATTCTGCTCTGTCCGTATCTGAATTCTTTTTTTTTTTTCTTCTTATTATAAATAGGCTCTTGAAGTTCACCCAGCCAGTTTGCAAGTGGGGGTTGTCAGGATTTTTAACTTTGTTTTCTTTTGGTCAGGAATGCTCTACTGAGCAGGGAATGCTAAGTAAACATTCATTTAAATCAAACTTACCAACGAAAGCTTTCACAGGTGAACTCGAGTCGTGAGCTACGTGCACGTTAATTTCGAGACTCTGACCAGTCACGTCCTGACAGTGGACTCAAGCCAGACAGACATAGGGTTTTTCTCCGCAGCTCTGTGCCAGGGAGATAATCGTAAGATGACTCTGCTGAGATACGTATTTCTGTATGAAAAGCGTGCAGAGCTGCCACGGTCGCAGGAGTCTCCTCATTCACTCGCTTCTGTTGCTGTAACAGCACAAACAGATGTGACGCTACTGCCTTGTGACTCATGGGGTGCAGGCAGCAGCCCTCTGCTGGGCAGACCCTCCAGGTGGCTCTGCAGAAGGTCTTCAGAGTTGGCGTTCACAGAAGTGACTTCCTTCCCTGCCCCTCTGCTCTTTCCTCTGTGGGCTCAGGTCCCTCGGAAGGATCCTAGGCTTTCCTGTCCATCTGTTCACACAGTCCTTTACCAAGTTATGTGATTTGGTTTTTGAAGCTGATGTGTTCTAGATGTGATGCTAATTGGTGGCCTAGAGATGAGATCGATTGTTTAGGTCTTTGGCTCTTTGAAATATCTCAGCGGCCCCTGGAGCTCTGGGGGAGGTCGAGGAGGAGCCGTCCTTGCTGGCACAGTCTTATTTATCCCTAGGAGCAAGGATGTGTGTGTGTGTGTGTGTGTGTGTGTGTGTGTGGTGGGGAGGAGCTCCGGGCTGATCTGCCTTCTGGTCATGATCAAAATAGGTTTCTTTTATTTAGTTTTAGGTTTTTTAAAGATTTTATTTATTTATTTGACAGAGAGATTACAAACAGGGGAGCAGCAGCGAGAGAGGGAGAAGCAGACTCCCCGCTGAGCAGGGAGCCCAGTGCCCCGGGATCATGACCTGAGCTGAAGGCAGACGCTTAACCGAATGAGCCACGCAGGCGCCCCAAAAGAGGTTTCTTTTAAACTGAAATTACAAGTGGTGTCCTTTGTGTTAGGTAGGCTCAGCCCTCTTGGGTTATCACGTGTTTAAACCACTTCATCTAGAGTGAGTTTACCCATGGAGGAGAACTAATCTAAATGATCCTTCAAAGAAATTCACATCTTCTGGCTTAAGATGATGAAATCTATCAACCGAGAAGTAAATCTCTTGGGCCCTACTTAGGACGAGAACCCAGCCTTATAAATAGGGCCATTATGTAGGCTCCTCAGGGTCCCACGCAGCCTAGCAAGTGCTGCACGTGACATCAAAGGACCACAGCCCCGGGATATGTTGTCTGGTACTGGAGACAAAGATCCTTGGTTTCCGGAGAAGGCTGGGGAGGTGTCTTGTCTCCTATACTGATATGCAAACAGGTGTTCAGTACCTGGTTTTTGACCAAATAAATTATTAATTGAACTTAGGATTAATAAGTTTTTGACCAAATAAATTATTAATTGAACTTAGGATTAATATTCTCTGATTGAATTAGAGATTTTTGAGGACATGGTTTTTCAAACTGGTGGTTTTCTGTAATCTATTTTATCATTAGGCCTCAAGAACCAATTTCTTTATCATTGCGAGTTTTTCTTATCTGTGTAAATGATTTCTTGGCTGTTTTGTGGAAGAATATAGAATGGTATTCAAACTCTGCCTGTGTCCGAACCACCTGGAGGGCACGTTACAGCAGATGCTGCTCCCCGACCCCTGGAGTTAGATTAGTAGGCCCGGGGTGCGGCCTGAGAATTTGCAATTCTTTTTTCTTTTTCTTAGGATGTAGCATGTGCATGCAGGCGCGCGCACACGTGAATGAGAACAAAAGGGGGGCGCAGAGGGAGAGAATATTCAAGCAGACTCCCCGCTGAGCATGGAGCCCAGTGTGGGCTTAGTGCAGGGCTCACTTCCACACCCCATGAGATCACGACTGGAGCTGAAACCAAGAGTTGGATGTCCCACCGACTGAGCCACCCAGGTGCTCCACGAATTTGCAATTATAACAAATTCCCAGGTGACATCAAGGCCAGAGTGACAGCCGCCGACATGGCACTGTTTGTTCAGGACATCTCGTGTGTATTGCTACCACAAATACTTGACTCTCAGTATGTCCCGTGAATCTCATTTTTTCTGTTTTAAAGTCTACGTGTGAGCAAATGAAATGCAAGGTACAGTGTTTCCACTGACGGTCCCCACACACTCTGCTGGGGTCTTGGCCTCTCAGCTGTGTGCATAAATGTTGTGTATGTATCGAGGAAAGGACTAGAAGCTATATTTTCAAACACAGCTCTACGTGAGTGGTGGGATTGTAAATGTTACTCTTTTCTTATGCGTTTATTTTCCTTAGTTTTTTACAATGCATGACTTTTAGAGTTAGAAAAAATGTTTTTCAATTATTGAAATAGCTGTGATAATGGGACGTTCCTCACTTAATCTCCCATCAGGGCTTGGCAAACGTCTGTATTTTAGGTTTTGGGGGCATCATGGTCTCTGCTGCCGTGGCCTGGCTCTGCACTTGGACTGTGCGGGACCACAGACAGCACCCAGGGGAGTAAGTGCGGTGCCGTTGTGGTGACACTTTATTTAGGGACATTGAAATTGGCATTTCCTTTGATTTTCTTGCATTGTGAAATACTGTTTTTCTTTTGATTTTTTTTTTTTTAAATCTATTAAACATGTGAAAACTATTCTGAGTTTATGGTCCTACAAAAACAGGCGGTGAGCTGGATTTGGCCCATGGGCTACAGTTTGCTGACCCTACAAGATGATTTTCTGAAAAGTATGTTTCTAAGAAGTCATGGCTGACTCGATAATCTTGGAATAATACCTCTGTCTTATTAACTGGTGCCATACATTGTTTTTTGCCAATTGTCTTCACTATTTTCTTTCTTTCAAGAGAAACATTTTTTTTTCTTTCCAAAATAACTAATGAACAAGTTTTTTGAGGTAACACTTCAGCCGTTTCAGGAATGCAGGTGACTTTGCTGGGTTGTTCCACTTCCGGTGGTGGGAGATAATGGCCAAGAGTAGTAAATGATACTGTGAGAAATGGAAGAAAGAGGAGAGCTTCTTCATCGAGTCCCTTCAATTCTGGACCATTTGGGTCCTAGGTTTTGTTTCCGTCGTGGACGTGGAACATTTAGACCTCAGCCGCCCTGGCTCTTGAGGCGCGGTGTTGTAGCTTCATGACCCGACTAAGTCACAGCCGCTGCCTGTAGGGGGGCCTGGCTCGGCCTGGGACCTGCATGTGTTTGCAGATGCTGGCAAGACCCCCGCTCTTCTCCAGATGCCTGGGGCCATTTGTTGGGATTTAAGGAAATGAGTAAGGGTTGTTTTTTAGACTTCAATAACTTAAATGCGACAACATTGTGCTGTTGTTTGATAGTTTTAGGGCCATGCTTTCTGAGGCGTGGGGCCCACGGATGCCCTGCACCCAAGCCTCCAGGTTGCTCAGAGCAGACTCCCGCATCATACCTGGTAAAGCGGGCTTTCTGCACACAGAACCCAGGAAGATGGTGTTTGTTAACAGTCTCTGCAGTGGATTCTTTTTACCTTGAAGTTTGAAAACTGCTGGTCTGGAGGAATCAGAGCAAGCTGACAGGATAAGCTGGTGGTCTTTGCACCAGCAACACACCACGGCTGCGTTCTTTCCCACACTCGGAGACTGGACCTTCTCAACGTACTCCGGAAAGCATTCTTACTAATGCAGGCCATAGCACCGTAGGAAAGAAGCCCTAGTTTCCCCCAAAACGTAGTCCTAGAACAGGAGTGTTCTCCGTGAGTGCAGACCTGCTGGCCTTGCGCGTTTGTTTCTTCCCCCCAGGTCGTTTGTTCCTGCTCACTCTCTCGTCCCTTCACCTCAAAGCCAAGGATGTCAGAAAGGGCAGGGGTTAGGGTCTTTTATTCTTTTATTGGAGTTCTGCAAGAAGCATGTTTATAACTTGCTGGTGCAAAGAATAATGGTAAATGGGCTGCTGCTGCTGCTTCTTCTTTTTTTAAACTAGGGGGCACACCTAATTTGAAATCGCTGTGGCTGACCCAGGAGCCAGGAGTACAGGGCCGGCGCTTGGACGCCCTCCTCGGCTGTTTCGACCTCTCCTCCTCCAGAGAAGAGCTGCAGGCGGTGGAAGACCCCTTCAAGGCACTGTGCTGCCTCTTGATCTACCTCTTCGTGCAGGTACCCGCAGCCCTTGTCCAGGTGCCGCACCGGCGCCTCACGCCTGCCCTCACCTGTGTGCGGTGTGGCGCGCGGGGGCCTGGCCGTGGGCGCATCCCCGTGTCCTCCTGCCCAGGACCTGCCCCTCGCAGCTGTCGAACTGGGACGGGCTCCCTGTCCACACTCGCTGGACGCCTGTGTCGGAAGAGGAGGCTCGTGACACACGTCTACGGGGCAGAGGCGTGGGACCCATGCGCAGAAGCGTGCTCTGAGCCGTGCGCTGCCTGCCCTGGTGCCGCCGGCGTCCGGAGGCTGCTCCTGCCAGGGCCCCGGTGTTGTGGTGAGGAGGCCGGTGCCTTCCATGGTCACTGCTCTCGCAGTGTTTACTGAGCATTTCCCTCCACTCCCCAGTCTAGGGCAAGGCAGTGGGTGCCTCCTGAGGTTATTCGGGCATCGCGTTGTGGGAAGCATGGGGCGTGCTTCGCAGACGTGCCCAGTAAAATGTCCGCGGGGGCCGTCATTGTCACGGTCTGTGTCTTCCTTGCCTGTCTAACCCGGGGTTGCAGGCCTCACGTGACAAATGCTGTGCGAGGCCCTGACTGCTGTCCCTCAACAAGTTAGGCACTTTCGGTTTCATTAGTTCTACACCTCGGTTACGTGTGGAAATTACAAAGGCCCATGAGAGTGTTTGTCTTTGTAATAGTTGTCCGTGCGCGGGGCAGTGTTCGGACACCTCCGGCAGAGAGGGGCCGGACCACTCCTCTTCCAGCCCCTTTCCTCCCACTTCCTTTCCTTCGCTCTATTATTTTTTAAATGATTTTGTCTCACATTTGTCACAACAATAAAAAAAAAGTCCTTTGCATCCACGTCTCCCTTTCTCCAGCCTGTCTAGACCTGTCCTCTCGATGCTTTTGAACTGTCCTGCCTTCTACCCTGGCCTCTCTCTGTGGTGGATCTTGGCGCTCCTTTGGCATAAACACCAAATTTCCATTTGCCTGGAGTAGAGATATACGTGACTGTTTTTCAGGCCTGAATTCACTTTATGAAGTATTGGTTGTCTAAGAAAACTCACTCTCATCGTGGAATTAATCTCAAGGAGCTTCGTACTGATTGTTCTTTTCCATTTCTAAATTGTCCTTTTCTTTCAGCCCTGCCCGTCTGTAGCTAGTTCTGCGTTTTGCATTTTGTAAAAATGTGGCTAAATGACTTCAAGGTTTTATTGCTTCGTGACGGGTTTCGCTTTGCCGTGGTGTAAACTTCAGCTTAGGCGTCACTGTTTTGAGGAGAACGTTTCGTTACTGGTACCAGACTTAGCAATATAATTGAATAGAAGATGGATTTTTAAGTGTAAAACTGCCTTTCTTTTGATATCATTTACTAAACACTCAAGCACGTATCAGTCAGTATTTTCTACCCATTGTGGCTGAGAGAGGCCGTCGCGGGGGTTGGGAATGGTGGATAACCTGGAGCTGAGGTTTCTCCTCCAGAAAAACACGTGTGTTTTCTTCTCCATGTTGTCTGTGCACACGAACAGCCATTCCTTGAACACACATTTTGACTTAGTCTTCCAGTCAGAGGGTCGTACCTGCTGACAGTCACTCCTCACGGCTCTGCGCTTGTCACTGGTGCAGGTGACTGTGTCCAGACCTCGGAACAGCAGCTTCCCGCAGACGTCAGCAATGATGACCTTCACTAAGAATCTCTGGTGTGAGTCAGCACGGGGCAGACTTAAAGAGCATATTTGAATTGGAGCTTTTTGAAACTGAAAAACAGCGAGTGGACACATCAGTGACCTCTCTGAGATGAAAAAGGCACTGTCATATTACTCACAGGGTGAATTTCTCTTAGGGTTTCGTAGGGCTGAAAAGGTAAATTTACAAAAGTCTACTTTTCTGTGATTACGCTTAAGTTAGACGTTCCGTTGTGCGACATGGGGAACAGAACCTGTGGAGAGAGGACGTGCTCTCCTAGGCTCCAGGTCGACAATAACACTTTTTATTGAGGGCTTATCTGAGAACTTTCTCAGGAAGGGTGAGTTTGTATCAGAGCGAGCCACATAGTTTTTATAATCTCTAGTTGAGCAGGTGCTTTAAAGAGTAATGTCCATTCTGTGAAATGCTCAACGAGCCCGTGTCCCTCGCCTCTGTGGTCTCGATCTGTCACCGCAGAGGTGGGTCACCTGTGAGAGCGACGGTCTGTGGGATGCCTCTCTCTTTAAGCTGGTGCTTTAAAATCACCCTTCTTCCAGAGTCGCTCATGGCAAGAAGTAGAATCACATTCCCACAAAACCAGTCCACACGGAGAGCGATGGGGCTTTAATGGGATTAAAAAACGTGTTCTCTGCTTAGTCTGGCTTCTGTAGACTGGGGTCCTTTTCGCTTGGTCATGAGTACTACACATCTGTGGACTTGTTTGTTATTCCCTGAAATAGTTCCAGCTGTCCTTTATACAAAGGCAATAAGTACGTCAGAATGGAGCAGGGCAGGGTGGTGACGGGGTTGCTGCCTTGCGCCGGGTGGAGGTGACCAACGCCAGAAATAATTTGCTTTTCCTGGAGAGGGCAGCGGGTCCTGGCTGGGGAGAGCAGGAGTAAACTTTAGCCACTTTTATCCCTGAGAAGAGTCGGAATTCTTACCCTTGGGTTTGCGGTTGTCATCCTGATTTTTTTTTTCCCTTCAAGCCTCTGCTCGCCACAGAATGTGTTCCTCTGTAGAAAGAGGTTCTCGTATTCTCACGATGGCGTTGGAAATGCTGAGCAAGGGAACTGCAGAGCTTTCCTCTGCTGGCAGCATTTGATGGCTGATCGGAAAAGTCTCCACCCGGTAACCTGGGAGGAGGTGGCCCCTGGAGCAGCCGCTGTCCCTGGTACTCCCAGGCCCTGTCATTCCCATCGTTTTCTCGAGACCCAGAGTTTCCCCATCTGTCTCTCCAAATCCCTGCCCTCCTTGTTCTTGCTCACATTTTGGTTGGACTCCTTGATTCCGTAGAAGAGCAGAGGGTCTCACATGTGGGGGTCCTGGGATCTGAGTCTGCAGGTTTCACCAGGGCTGGCGAAGGCGGAAGCTTATCCCAGCTTTGATCATCCCAGCTCACGCTGCAAACCCCTGAGTTGCCAGCTCTGGGATCTGGTGCCCAGAGCAGTCACTTGTGTTGCTGTAAGACTTGGGTTTGGTTGTGACTCATGGCCCCTCCCAGGAATTCTAGAGCTTCCCCCCCTTGCTTTGGAGCAACCAGGGCCCTGTCCAGCTTGGCCCTGGCCATTATGGGCTGTGGGCTCTGGACAAAGAGGCCACTGACCTCCGCCTCTGCCTCCTCCCCTGCCCCGTGTGGGCCTGTGTTCAGTTGTCGGACCCGTGTGCAGAGCGTCGTGTTTTTCCCAAAGTTCATGCTGCTTCTCTTTCTTCTCCCTTTCAGGTGGACACTCTTTGCCTGGAGGATCTGCATGCTTTCATTGCTCAGGCCTTGTGCCTCCAAGGAAAGTCAACGGTGCAGCTTGTGGACCTGCAGGTACTGGCCTGACGCACTGTCACGGTTCTGGCAACCCCTGCCTGACCAGAGGGTCCGTGCTCTTGCCAGCCTTTCCTTCTGTTGTGGTTTCTAAGTTTTGGTTGGTGTTCCACAGAGAAGATAAGAAAGCTCATGTATTCGAGGTGTTCTTACGCTGTGGTTGGCTTCATCTGTCACACAGCGGAGCCCAGGGTCTTGCCAGGTTATTGAAGCTCTGGCAGAGCCTGTGTTTCTGGAGAGTGGCCCTCTAGACCTCGGTCTCTGCTGAGTCACGTGCCCACAAGAGCCCCCTCATTCCAGCACCGAACGACAGAACTGTGTCGTTCTTAATCCTGTCTCAGAATTAGTAACGTGAGCAGAATAGTCGGTGTGAGCCCTTATAAGCCTCGCTGACTTTAGGAAAACAAGACGCCTTTTTCTGATGTTTGTGGTTTTGGCCCATACACATCCTGTCCTGCCTGTTTTGTCTGTGGGCCTCATCTTCCAGACGTTGGTGACCGCTCTTTGGGGCTGGGCCACGTCCCACCCGCTGTGTGTCCTCTCCCAGAGGCTTGCCTGTGGAGTGTTCCGTAATGGAGATTACGCACCTGTGTTACTTTTATTCAGATGTTGCCGCTCATGGGTGTTTATGCCTTGAATCTCATGAACGAGCCATTGGCAGCTGAGCCAGGCTCCTCTGCGCTATGGCCACCCGTTTCCTAGAGGAAAACCCAAGGTCAGGTCAGTTGTTTGTGGAAACTGAAGACTTTGCTTTATAAATGCTATTGGATAATGGTAATGAGTTTTATCCACAGATTCTAGTTAATTGAATTAGTTTTCACTGGTCTTTATAGCGGAAAAAAAAAATTTCATTTATAAACAGCTTCCGATCTAATCTCAGAGCTCCTCCGTGCCACGTTTACTCCGTGAGCTGATTCTTGTAGCAGCGCAGTTAAATCCAGTGCAGATGGTGTGTGTGTGAACAGTCATTACGTTACAGTCAAGAAATTTATTTTTAGAAGTGGACTTTTTTTCCTCCTTTTGGCAAGACACAATTTTAAAAAGTGAATTTGGGGTTATTGCTAGGCTAATGCTAATTCTTTTCTAATTGAGGTGTAATTGGCGCACGTTGTGTGAGTCCGAGGCGCTCCGCATAGTGATTCGTGTCTGTATGTATTGTGAACTGGGCCACAGCCAGTCTAGCTGGTACCTGTCGGACGGACAGTGACGGGATGGTTTTCCTTGTGATGTGAGCTCCAGGTTTATGCTCTTAGCGACTTCCAGGTATGCAACACGGTATTACCCCTGTGCCTCCACGCCGTGCACCGCGGCCGTGGCTTACTCATGTTAGCACTGGCCCTCTGTGCCTTCTCCAGTGCCCTCAAGTTCCATCCACACGACCACAACTGGCAAGATTTCACTCTCTTTTCTTACGGCTGGTAATTCTGCACTGTTGTATACGTCACATTTTTTAAATGTGTTCCTCAGTTGATGGACACTTAGGGTGTTTTCATATCCTGTCTGCTGGGAGTAAGGCTGCCTCGAACGTGGGCTCACGTCTGTCAGAAGACAGTGACGTAACTTCCTTCAGATACAGCCCAGAAGGGGGATTGCTGGATGGTAGTTCCATTTTTAGTTTTTTGAGGAGCCTCCGTGCTGCCTTCCGAAGTAGCTGCACCAGTTTGCATTCCCACCAGTAGAGCAGGAGGGCTCCCCTTTCTCCGCATCCTGGCCACACTTCCCTTTTGCCTTTTTGGTGACGCCCTTCTAAATCAGTGTGGGAATTAACTGACCGTATATGCAGGGTTTGCTTTTGAGCTCTCTCTTCTGTTCCATTGATTTTTGGGTCTGTTTTTATTCTAATACCGTACTGTGTTGATGACCGTGGCTTTGTAATCTAGTTTGGAAATCAGGGAGCTTGATGCCTCCAGCTCTGTCCTTCCTCGGGACTCTCTGGCTATTCAGAGCCTTTGTGGTTCTGTACACATGTTAGGGTTGTTTGTTCTATTTCTATGAAAAGTGCCCTAAGAATTCTTACAGAGATCACATTGAAGCTGTAGATGGCTTTGGATAGTTTGGACATTTCTTTCATCAGTGTTTTATAGTTTTCATGGTGCAGGTTTTTCACCTTCCTGGTCAAATGTATTCCTACATATCATATTCTTTTTGATGTGATTATAAATGGAATTGTTCTCTTAATTTCTCTGGTTTCCTTATTAGTGTATAGAAATGCAACAGATTGGGGCCCCTGGGTGATTCAGTCAGTTAGGCGTCTGCCTGTGCTCAGGTCATGATCCTTGGGTCCTGGGATCGAGTCCTGCATCAGGCTCCTGGCTCAGCGGGGAGCCTACTTCTCCCTCTGCTGCTGCTCCCTCTCTTGTGCTCTGTCTCTGATAAATAAACTCTCTAAAATAATAATAATTTTTTAAAAACTTTAAAAATGCAACAGATTTCATGTATTGATGTATCCTACAACTTTATTGGATTTATTTATTAGTTCTAACCATTTTTTTGGTGGAGTTTTAAGGGTTTTCTACATACAGTATCTTGTCATTTGAGGATAGCGACAGTTTTACTTCTTCCTTTCAGTTTGGATGCCTTTTATTTCTTTTCCCTGCCTGATTGCTGTGGCTGGGACTTCCGGTGCTGTGTTGAGTAGACGTGGCGAGAGTGGACATCCTTTCATGTTCCTGATCTCCGAGGAAAAGCTCTCAGCCTTTCAGCACTGAGGATGATGGTGGCCGCTTGCATTGAGTAGGAACAACACCAATTTTAAAAAGTGAATTTTCAGTTATTAGTAGGTTAATAAAGTTGTTAATACTAGGTTATAGCCCCAGCTGCCTCTAGAAGATAGGAGGTATTGGCGTTGTCACCCTGCTACTGCTGGGCCAGATGGGTGCCTGCTCTCAGAGGCCCTTGGCTTCCCCCTGCCCCACCCCGCCTCGAGCAGGGCGGTAACTTTAACTCTCCTTCCGTGATTTTTCGGCGGAGCCTAGCCTTCCTAGTCTCTCTGCTCAGCAGTTTCTCTGCTGTGCTGGGTCCCCCTCCTGGCTCTGACTCCAGCCTCCTTCCTGATGGAAGGCTCCCTGTGTTTAGAATGTTCTGGATTTCTCTCTTCTGTGCCAGGGATTAGGGGAGCACTGTCTGAGCGCCCTGGCGGCGTCTTCAGAGCTACCTTGTCTGGTGCTTATCACCACTCGTCGGAGAGCACTGGTCGTCTTTGATGGGGATAAAAAGAAAGAAATAGGAGTTGATGGAAGGAGGATGCTGTTCTGAAATTCCAGCTGTACCCCCAGAAAGTGACATGTTGTAAGCATCACATTTCGTTGCCGCCGTGAGGATGTCTCAGGATCTGTTGGACGGACAGTTCTTGGGGGGCCCTCGCTGTGGTGGTGTCATTCCGCACCGTGAGTCGGACCTCACACCGGCACCGCTGGCACGGTGTGCACGCGGGAGCACAGTTTGGTCCGTGGTGGACAGGGAGTCTCAGACGGGGGCTCTGCGCGCAGTCCTGGAGTGGGAGGGGTAGTCCGCGTCCGTGCCCGCACCAGCTTCTGGGTGGACCATCCCCCAGGGCCTCAGGCAAGACCTGACTTTATTACGGTCTCTCTTGTTCAGGCCTACAGCCGCCTGAGTGGCACCTTCACTGGGACCGTGGTTCCCACTAGCCGAACGGGGCGCTCGCAGTGAGGGTCCCTCATCCTGGCTCCTCCACACCACGTTCTTCATCCCTTTCTGGCAGGTCTCTGTTGTGTGAGCGGGAACAGCTGCCCTTAACCTCCAAGGCGCTGGTAGCCTCTGAGCCGTCGGGAACTCCTGGCGTGGCATGTAGGTTTTCAGCTTCCGTAGTTTAATCACCGAAGACGAGAAACTGTTGAAAGGATTTGGAAGATTTTACTTAGTGTGGCCGTACGGTTCACGGCAGGCGCCGGGTGGCATCTCTCGCCCTGGGGCTTCTGGTGAGGCCTGGAGGCCACGCCCTCTGCCCTTCTTGGGCCTTTGCTGTGCTGACTGGCCCCTCCCTCTGTCTTCGTGTTCACCTTCATCCTTTGTTTTAAACTTGGTCTCTTGGACTGGCTCTGTCCTCTCGTGGATAGAGTCCGGTGTCCCTCCCCTGGAAAACACCGAACACTTCCGCAGTGGGCACGCCCAGCCCGTCTTGCCCTTCGGAGGACGCTCTCTGCGGGACGGAGCACGTCTCTGGGTCTGCGCTGCCCCCTCACCTTCGGCCCTGTAGCGCAGTCATGCCCGTGTGACACGCGGTCACCGAAGCAAAGGTTAGGGAACCCTCGGCTGCCAGCCCCACCGAGCACTGGGTCTTGTGCTGCGTTCGCTCCCCTTCTGAGCCCGTGGCACGCTGTTTGTTTGTCTCTGTTAAGAAACCGTTGCGGGACTTCTTCCAGAGAGACGTGCGGGCCTCACTCTGGCACCTGGCTCGGTCATTGGGGAGTGCGGCCCAAGGCAGGCTTTCGTGGTGGGAAAGCTGCGGGTCCTGCACGGGGTTTTCACGATCTCCCTCCTCTGCTAGATGGAGGCCCGCCTGGAGGGAGAGACGGAGCTCTTCCCCCGTTTGCTTTCAGCGCCCATCACTCTGCCGACATGACTAGAGCCTGCTCGACTGAGCAGAGTGGTTGTGCAGGTGCGGCCCTTGGGGCGACACCCCCTTTGCAGAGCCCCCTGTGCCTCTGCCCCCCCTCCCTGGAGCTCCCAGCAGAGCCAGAGAGGCAGCTGTGGCATGTGGTCTGCCCTGGGCCCCCCTCTGGGTAGCTGGTGACTTGTAACTTAACCGCTGTGGCTCGTAGTCTCTGACGGGCAAGCCAGAGTCATGGAAGCCACAGCTCCCGTACACCCGTGGGCGTGGGTGATCGTGGAATGGTCTGGGATTCACGTGATTAGCTCCTGGCCTGAAAAGCAAAGCTAGGACCCTTCAACTTACAGCATCAAAGCAAAGAGCAGAGGGTAGAGCAGAGGTGGCAGAGAAGGAGGGCGTGGGAGAGAGGGCTCTGTGCCCATCCCGTTTC